ATTGCACTTGTTTTGATGTTTTCCAGCTGTGTTTAATTTATATATTCATATTTGATATTTCTGATATTCAGACCACATGTTAAGCTTCACAACAGAAAAGATACATATTTTATGACTCCCTAATGTCACTGTGGGTGTTTAATAAGTATTTGTCAGATGGATAATCAAAACAAAACAAGTCATTACAATGGCAAAATGAGAGGCCAATTTTACAGATTGGAAAAATGGCCAAGTGTTAACATATTTTATAGTTGTCAGAAATCCTCATGGGGTCTCTGTGGAGACCTGGACAAGGGGAAAGATGGGTCTGGAATTTAGAAATACATGCACATAATATCATGACAGTTGTTTGAAGACTAAAAGAGAGTAAGTATCTATTATTTGAGTTAGGAAGAAATATTAATGCAAATTAGGAACATTTCAAAACGGAATCCTTACAAACCGTTTATAAAAATAATCACTTCAATTTTTTTTATCTGCAGTCTTTGTTTCTCTGACTACATTTTTGGCAAATTTCAGAATTTCTGTACTTTCTGCCCTTTCAGAGCTTATAAAAATAGTTCAAATATCCTTTCATCTATAATTTCAAGGCAATACAAATCCCTTCCCCTCCATAAATTTATGTGTTCTTATTTCTACTTGAGTGACTTCTATTTTAGGAAAACTATAATTATTTCTATTTTTTTCTCATTTAATATTAAACAGTTTTAACTTTAAAGTTTAAGTTTTAATATTATACATATATCTAGATTATTACCATATTATAAATTTGTTGCTTAGATAAAATACAAACCTAAAACATTCCTATATATTGTTACAGGTATATACATCTGTAGTAAATATTAAAAACATGCATTGAAAGAATAGTATCACCTATAGGATAATGTTCAGCTCCAGGGACAATTCTTTACATTTCCAAATACTTGCCACCATCTAAGCCAGCATTCTAAAATTAGTGTTGTGTAAAGCCAGAGAGTGTTTCTTAAAAATGTAGATTCCTGGGCTTCAACTTCAGAAACTAATGCAACAGGACGGTGTTGGGTTGACAATTGTGCACTTGAGCAAGAACCTCAGATTTAGCTGCAGATGATTAAAGAACCACCCTACAACCCACATACAGAAAATGCACAGCTATGGGGGGGAAGGGGATAGAGGAGCCTGCAGCTCCAGGGAGAGGGCAGGGCTAGAACAAGATTTGGTTGTCACTGTTGGGGGGAATGCAAACTGGTACAGCCACTGTGGAAAAAGTGTGGAGGTCCCCCAAAAAGTTAAATTGGAACTACCCTACCAATCAGTAATTGCACTACTGGGTGTTCACCCAAAAAATTGGAACTACCCTACCAATCAGTAATTGCACTACTGGGTGTTCACCCAAAAAAATACAAAAACACCAAATCAAAGGGGTGTATGCACTCTTACATTTATGGCAGTATTTATAACAGCCAAATTATGGAAGTGTCCACTGATAAATGAATGGATAAAGAAGATGTGGTGTGCATGTACGTATACATATGTATTATGTACATACACACAGTGGAATATTATTCAGCCATAAAAAGAATGAATCTTGTCATTGCAATGACATGGATGGAGCTAGACGGTATAAATGCTAAGTGAAATAAGTCTGTCAGAGAATGATAAATACTATATGACTTCACTCATATGTGGAATTTAAGAAACAAAACAAATGAGCAAAGGAAAAAAGAGATAAGCCAAGAAACAGTCTTAACTATAGAGAACAAACTGAGGGTTACCAGAGGGAAGGTGGGGTGGGGGGTGGAGGAAGGATGATACGGGTGATGGGACTAAGGAATGCACTTGCCATGGTGAGCCTGGGTGATGTATTGATGTATTGGGTTGAATTACTACACTGTATACCTAAAACTAATATAACACTGTAGGTTAATTATACTGGAATTAAAATTAAGAAAATGATTGGGTTGTCATGGTCTGTGGCAGCAGTTCTGAGCATGGAAGTGGATGGGAGAAAAATGAAGAGTGGTGGGCCCAGTAAAGAATGCCAGAGCAAGAAGCAGAAAAAGGAGGGATTTTCCAAGCAAACAGAAGGTATGGCTGCAGAGGGAGGAGGAAAACAGAGGGCATCATAGGGTGGAAGCCAAAAGGCCAAGTTCTATAAGAAGGGCATAACCAAAGGGCCAAATAGAACAGAGAATCAGGAAAGGGAAATGCTCATTGTCTGGAGAGTCTATCTCAAGGACTCTATTTGTTCCTGGAAGGTAGGGGATGGTATTATCAGCAGCTGACACATCGTAAACACTCAGTAAGTGCTTGGTGAACTAAAGTGGACCAACAATGGTGACTGCCATACAAGGATTTTAAAGAGCTCAGCTACAAGTCAGTTCCTTCAAGTACCCTCACTAGGATGTAACTATCCACAATGGAGAATTAATTGTAATCAGACTGATAGAACAGTTATTTTCCACCATTTACTGAAATGTGGACATGATGTTTATAAACAGTGCCCAACCTCTGTGTCTATGTAAGGGAATTCTGGACAATGGAGTTTTACTAGTAATTAAAAAAAAAAAGCAAAGATCTTTAAAATCTTTACACCGAGGTTCTGAGAGTAGGTTATTTCCATACAAATGATCTGTCATGATCATTTGTAGAAGTGTGTTCAGTCACAAGAAGAACAAACCACATTAAAGGAAGTAAATGACTCTCCAAGAATGCACAAGTGTTGGTTGCTATGACAACTGCTGGGTTATATTACATAGAGAGCAAAAAAAAAAAAAAAAAAGTCAATTAGAAACCACTGGAAGAACTTGCACCGGAGCATAAAACATTTCTGCCTCACAATTTCAGGAACTTTCCTACAGCTATGCATTGCATGAACAGGGTTCATGTTGATGCCAGTCAGAGGCTTAGTTCTAAGAAAGGTCACCTTCTGGATGCATTCCCATCATTCTAATGTTTCTCCCCTAACCTGCTCTTCTGAACACCCAAGTAATTTATTAAAGTAGTGAAGAATTCATGCAGTTACCTCTTTTCTGCTGGTGACATTAAACAGTGTTTGCCTTCAATCCATTTTTGTTTGAACCAAACAATTTTCACATTTATACAGAGAGAGACGATTTCGATCTGTGGAGCAGTTCCCCCACTACTCCCAATGTGGCATATGTCTGACTTGTGAAGAAAATACAGGGAAAGAAGAGATGGTTTCAGGAACCCATTGTGCCAACCCTCTCCTACATTTCTTTTCTCTTTGGAGATCGACTATTCTCCGATCCTAAAGTCTTGACCTGCTAAGAGGATTAAGGAGAATTGCCAAGTTTTTCGGAATTTTCAATAAAAACGTTGTTAAAGTGATAGAATGGGATAGCCCCTATGAACGAAATGCTAAAGGTTCAAGAGCAACCACAGAGACCAGACATCAGCTATGTGACTTTCTCATGGGCAGCTCCACAAACGTTTGGTGGAAGCATTCTTATGGTCATGGGGTGACAGCCCTTAGTCTAATGAGCACATTGATCTCACGAAGAAATGTTCAAGCTCTCGGAATGGACTGTGCATAGTTCTTTTAGGAGATTACCACCTGATAGAGTGACCCAAATGGGATCCATTGAGAGGGTCTCTGCTTCTCCAATATGCGCTGCCCAGTACCAGCAGATTGATCTCAAAGCAGCCCTTCATAGCAGTGCTTTTCAAAATGTAGGTTGAGGCCCATCACTAGGCCCTAAGATCAATAGTGGGTGAGACCACTATTAAAAGAGGGAGAAAGAATTGAATAGAAAAATATCAGAATGAATCTCATCTAGTAAGGGTAAATATACTTTGTGAAACTTCTATTTCTTTCTCTCTCTGTACATATGTGTGCACTGTGTTGCTAGATTGAACATATTTCTTACTGTAGGACTAGCCAAAAAGGCTGGAGAGCCAGACTCTGCCCTGCTAAGAATACCTCGATGTTCTCTGTTGTGTAAGGAGGAAGGAGAGGCGGAAGGGGAGGGGAAGAAGAGGAGCCAGAATAAAAAGAAAAGAATTCCACCTCTTTTGCTCTAGGGCTTCAGTTGGTCCCCAAATCTGCTCTCATCTGCTCTCTACTTCAGTAATATTACACTAGGTTCCAACTTTTCTACTCACTCTCCTCTCAATGTCCTTGCTCCATTGTGCCCTTTAATCATAAAGCTTCTCCTCTTTGTGGTTTTCAAATTCTATTCTCCTTTAGGGTCCATTCAGGCCTTATCTTGGCATTTAACCCCTATGATCTCTATGTCCTCTCATCACTCACCTCTTTCCAGCTGTTCTGCTCAATTCCACACATTTTCTCTCCAGGTGTCCTGTCTTCTTTGAGCTTTACCTGCTTCCTGTCCCACTCTGCTCTCACACCTCCTGGTACCTCTCTTCCAGTCTGCCCCCTTCCCTCTGTTGCTTTCCTCTTACCATCTACCTCTGAGCTAATTATCCTGTTTTTGTTGTCTGCTTGTTTCTGCTTTTTTCTGTGGATCTCTAGATTTCTCACTTGACTGAAAGCAACTTGAGCCCAGGGAAAGTGAATCATACATTTTTGTATGCCCCGTGATATCTGGCACAGTACTGGGCATATCATAGGTGCCCAGAACCAGGATCTATAATGTGACCTATTCTGTGCTACTAAACTTTTCCAGTAGAAACCTGACAACAACAATCACACATGATAATAAAATGCTCACTCAATGCAAACAAAATGTTGTATATGGAGAAAAAAAAAAGCAACTAAAAAATAGCAGGCAAGGCTTAGCCTGTGTTTCTCAGGAAATGAGAATTTGAATACCTTGTACTAGATTAACATTCTGGTTATTTTGTTTTTGTAATTATGCTTGGATTCTGATAGTGCCACAAAAGTGAGAGGAAATCCATTTACTACTTACCGAGGATATGCTGGCTTCTACTGCAAGGCTGAAAGTCTTTTCAGTAAGCCCATCCTAGCAATTAGCTGTGACTCTGTGCAGTGTTACGAATAATGACCAAGCTCTGTTTTTTGTTCACTTATCACTTACCAAGCTGTTCTCCTAAATGTTGGCCTCTCTCTGTTGAGATGACCCGCTCATCTTCCATGTCACATTTGTTCCCAACCAGGATAACCTGGGCATTATCCCAAGAGTATGTTTTGATTTGAGTTGACCTAGAAGAAGACAATAGGCAAAAAATGATCAGAGGAGAAGACAACATAAAATGAAGGAGAAGGAGTATGACCCACAGATGATGATAATAGCAAAAAGTGAAGGCCAAATGCCTGAAGTTTAGAATTAGTCCAGTGCAATCTCACCCTTCAGATACTCAGAGACTATTTATTTTTACTAAGAATTCTTTTTTATTTGGTGATATTAATATGACTACTGTTTTTTTCCTTTCTCCATTTTATACCTTATATAGTACCTTTATAGCTGGAATGGCCAACCATCCTGATTTGCTCATGACATTCCCACTTTTTGAAGTAAAAATCCCATGTTCATAGAAACTCCTCAGTTTTAGGAAACCCAATTGTTCACTTTACAGCCCACCACAAAAAAAGCATCATTTTCCCTTGTTACAATAACAACTTAAAGAGCTAGGACAATTAGGGCCTAGGAGATATGGGGATAATGATAATATTTAAGAATGAATCATAAGAACTAATATACTCATGCTTTATATCAAGAGAAAAATGCCAGGTTCATATCAAAATTACAATATAATGGGCTGTGGGCTTAAGTTACTGTCAGCAGGGCGTCTAGAATTCCAGATAACCTTCTAGTATGGATCATGACGCACACAGTCAACTTCTGATTTTGAAATTGAGATAGAATTTTTATGGTTCATATTTATAGGTATAGTCCTAAATACTTTATATAGGTTACATTAATTTAATGCTCAGAATCAGAGGAGTATTGTTTATTATCCCCATTTTACCATTGAGAAAAATGAAGCATAAAGAGGTTAAGTAATTATCCCAAGAACAGCCCACTAGTAGAGTGGCAGATTACGAAATTAAACCCAGGGAGTATAGCTCTCAAGCCTATGCTCTTACTACTTATTACAAGTTTGAGAAGTGAAATTCTTGTGCATTTGTTGTCATTTTAGAGAAAAAGCTGAAAGGAGGCCATGTTCTTTAATCTGCCTTCTATATTGGTCATGTTTTTATTTGAGAACAACAATCTAGGATAGGTGGGAAAGATATACCACTCCATGGGTGGTCAAGAGCAGGATATAAAATGTTGAAAAACCGGATCAAAGTTAAAGAAAGGGATTTGTAAAATGTCAAAAAGAGAAGCTTAGAAATGTTTCTACTAGCAATTGTCAAGTCTTTCAAGATTATTAGATAGAAAATAGTGACACTCTGCTCTCAGCTTCAAGAGAGAATAAAAGCAAATAGCTTTAAACTATAACAGGAGATCTTTCAGTCAGATGTGAACACTGTCTCTTCCTTCTGAGAAGAAAGGATAGAGCTATGAGGCAGATAGTGTTTTATTTCAGAGCATTCCCCTGAAACAAGTTCAAGTTTTCAAATGAGACTAAAATAGCTGGAGAAATATACTCTATGTCCCATGTGAACATCTCCAAGGCATGGTATATTTTATCAGAAAAATCTGGAGACACGATCTTTCTAATTCTGATACCTAAGTTAATAATATATTTCTCTAGCAATAGGAGAGTCAGCATGTATCATAAATTGGGAAAATAAAAGCAAACACTGAAAACTCTAATTTTCTCTCACCTCATCTTATGTGTGTGGTCTATGAAAAAATGATACATTCATAGTGAAATTAAGGTGTAAAATGCATGCTACACATGAATACACCTTAAATCTCAAGTGCTAGCATAGTTTTAAAAAGAAATTCCAAAGGTTCTTTCAAAGGAACTCAAATCTAATTGGATTTCTTCAGGAAAGTTTTAAATTATCCCTCTGCTCCTATAGGTCTTATTAACCAAGGTCTGGCCTATGTCTGGAAAGGCTCTAGGCAGAGAGCCCTTATGTTAACAGACAAAGCTACCCTGGCACACAGCTAGAAATCAAATCACCGGAAAGAGGTTACTGAGAGGGTAGTCCCAGGAGAGTGTTGTCATGTAAGGAAGGGGTTGAGGCTATGACATAAAGGACATGGCTTTCTAAGTTTACAGAGGACAAATGCTTGCTTGAAGCAATTTAGCACTCTTTGGAGCTAGGCAAACTCATCCTCTGCAACCCTGTTTGTATAAACTTAACCAGGGTATATCTTTGTGAAGGTGAAGAAGGAACAACTTGGCTAGCTTATTTGTACTCTTAAGCCAAGTTGATGGAACGCTTGCTTCTACCACTCAGCATGTGCAAGTAACTCATTTCTGATCTAATTTTTTAAAGATTTATTTATTTTTGGGGGGAGGGGCAGAGAGAGACAGAATTTCAAGCAGACTCCCCAGTCAGCTTGGAGCCTGATGTAGGGCTCGATCCCATGACCCCAAACCATGACCTGAGAAGAAACCAAGAGTCAGATGCTCAACCAACTGAGCCACCCAGGTACCCTTCATTTCTGCTGATTTAATAACCCATGGGGTCTTAGGCTACTGTGACATTTATGCATATACAACATTCCCCATTTCCTAACAATGTGTAAAATGTGTAAAAATATATGAATATATAGCCATGATTGAATCAAAACCATTCCCCTTCCATTTGTTTTTAAGAAATATTTTAATGTGACCTCCTCAATGTCCTAAATTGCCAAGGAAATGTTACTTTTTTGCTATTACTAGGGAATTACTAAAAACCCTTATCTTGAAAGCTTAAATAGCTAATGGAGACCATTTTCTTTTTTCAATTGATTAAAATTATGGTCTGGGGCATTTGTGCTGAGGTGAACAGAAGACTAATTTGCCATCAAATTTGGTTAATCTCATTTTTGGAATCGGGGTGCCCAGTGTTTGGCTTTGGTTTGACTACTGCAGACTTGTCGATGATGTCTACCACCAACAGAGTAGCTTTAGGCAAAGTCCAATCACCAGCTAGAGGGGATCAGAATCATGCTGGTTGACTTACGAATTACTACATATCACAGAGTCCAAGATGCTATGAATGAGAGGAAAATTATTTTATGAATGGCCAAGAACAAAAATAAACAGCAATGAAATTATTACACAATGCTTTCACATTAGTCCTACTAGCCACACTGATCGGTCATGTCAGCTTTTTATTGTTTTGAAATTTTGTTCATGTATTCTGAGGGGTTTAGCAATTTTTCCTAATGGAAAACAGTACATAAACATCATTCTATGACTATCTCAGTAATAAAAGTTGATACATCCAACTGCTTGTGGGTATCTTTCCTTCTTAAATCCTATAGATTGTTGCTTTGCAAGAAAATATGAAATGATGGTTATTATTACAACAGGAGCATTCACGTTAAATTTATAACCCTTCCTGTTACTCAAATGACCCAGATTTGCGCTTATATCATCTAGACATAATATGAATTGAGGTCAGAAAAAAGTTGGGTTGTTAATCCAATTCTCTTATCCTCCAGCTCAGAATCTTAGCAATTTATTCAGCCAGTTAAAAAGAAAGCTCTAATACTAAGTAAGTATGGGGAGGTCATTCTGCATTCTTAGACTCTGTATCTTCATCTGTAAAATGAGGCTACCACATTTTGTACAGACTCTTTGGGCTGTTGCAGGACCCAGGTGGTTTTAGGTGGGTAGGGTCACACTCTACGTTCAAAATTGTAAACAACTCTTTACAAATACATTATTAGTCCCATTTTAGGCAATCAGCTGTTCCTCTTCCCAAATCCAGCTCAACTCATCCTTTCTAATTCTTATATTCTAAATAATAATTGGAAGTTTTTTCACTAAAGAATATCAAATTTTGTCTCCAGTTCCTATCTTGAGGTTGAGGTCCTACACGGGCAAATTTCTAACTGGAGTAGAATGGCCTACTCTGGTATGTCTGTTAGGGATAGGACACATGTTTGTGAAGTAAATCCTCCTTAATGTGGAATTTCTACATATTTACTTTCTTGGTCATTTGCTATATTTTGTAATTTTTTTTTTATTTGGGGAACAGGTTTTTAATCACCTTATTAGGGACTGTCTTATTTCTTTGCTGGTTAGAGACACATTTAAAGAAAGTGGCTGTCATGAAATAATATACATGTGAAAAGATTATTTCTGAATCACTGCTAGAGATCCTTTGGGATTTACAGTTAATCCCAACAAGATTAATGGAATCAGAAGCAATATGTTGGTCACCATGGTTACTCTATAAATGGTAATTAACTCAGACCTTACCAGTATCAAATCATAGTTATTTAAAAATCTGTTATTAGCTAAAATAAAAACAAAAACAAAAAAACCACAACCCACATATATTTATATTTTTACCTTCTCCATAAATATATAGAAAGAAGGTTTTTGTTTTCTGTTTTTGTTTTATATTATGAGGCAGAAGAAGATGAAGAGTCTTTCATGTTTTATGTGTATATGACTGAACTCTGCACAGAATCATTTGATTGGAGAGCTATAAACAAAACAATCAAATTCCTACATCATTACTCCTTCTTCCCTGTTTTGGGTATATAAGTAATTTCCTATGAGTTCAACCTGCTCTCACAGGGATTAGACTTTAGTTAGTCACAGTGTTCTGGAAAACAGTATAAAATATGTATCAGTGACCCAAAAAAGCAATTGTCTCCCAGGGTCTGATTTGGGCTATATGTGGGAAGAATGGGGTATCAGAAAGGATAAGACATGCTCTTCCTCACCCAGTGAAGCTTGAACAAATCTTAACAGCAGTCCCATTCTTAATTCTGGAAGTTCCTATGTCTCCATGGGCATCCATTCCCTTATTCTCATCAAAGTTTAGGAGTCACATAGCTCTACAGCTTCTCAGTCAACTTCCAAGCCTGCTACTGCTCATCATATAGGGATGCCTTTCTGTAACTTTCTCACTAATTTAATCATTTATTTACTCAATTCTTCTCAACCCTTGGAGAGTTTTAAAAATTATTCCAAAGGAGAACAATTAAATCATAACCTCTAGGGACTTCATCATAGGAATAAAAAAAAATCTCTCCAGGTAATTTGTATGTAGAACTGAGGCTCAACATTACTGGGATAACTCTCTCCCTAGCCCTTTCCTTTTTAGGTTTTAAATAGTCTATTTCAAATAAA